TACCGCTACCCAACAGCTTAGGGCAGGGAGCGGAGAAGATTCGTCTAGCAGAGGGGCCTGGGCGTCAGTCCCTCCCGGCGGCGCGCACAGGGGTCGGCCTGGCCTACCTGCACGAACGGGGGAGACCCGCAGTGTTCAAAACTCCCTGCCGGTTTTCTCTGCCTTCCGGTTTGGGAGGCTGGAGGTCGTGCTGGGGTCACACAGCGCTGAGGGCTCGGAAAACAGAAGCTGGGTTCCCTGGTAACCCTGCCTCCGGGAGCAGGAGCTCCGAGCAAACCCCCAAATAGTGCCAGACCCACGACAACCCCCCGACTGCTGCATTCGCCCCCGGCCAGGGGTTCCCACGTGGCCTGCATCTGAGCCGGCTCTGCCAGGGGGCCCCACCGCCAGGACGGGCCGGGAGTCTCCAAGGATGAAAGATTCATCTTGATTTAAAGAGGATGTCATGTGATGAACCCCCTAGGGATACGTCCAACCACAACTGGGCCCCCCAGGCTGTCACCCTACGGCGATCCTGTGTGCCCACGTCATACACAGCGGGGCAAACACTGCCCTCAGTTACCCGGGCTAGGTCTGGGTGTGACTGAGAGCAGGATCTGGCCCTGGATCTAGGCCTGCGGCGCACACAGCGGGTCAGGGGACGATGCCAAGGGAAATAAATAGATCAGGAATAATTCCTCCCGCCTCGTGATCGAAGAGCGGCCGCCCTCAGGCTGCGGGACGGGTGCTGGCTGTGAGCGAGTCCCCCCCCCACACAAGCTGGCCGGGGAGTTACGTGGCCGTTTGCTTTCCTGGCCCCGTCTCCTGTTCGGGGATGGGGACAGGGCCGTGAGGCGGGGCGGTTTCATGTCAGCCGGCTCGGAGCCCGAGTGACAGAGCCGTAACTGTCCCGTGTGGTGCACGGGCCGGGGGCGTGTGTTGTTTAAAGGCACAGCCCCTTTGCAGCTGGCTCTGGAGAGATGCCCTCCCCCCCGCCCCCGTCCTGCCCCAAAGAGCAGCCCCGCCCCCGGATAACTCAGCACGCAAAGGTCCAGAGCCCCCCAGGCCTACCCGTGCGGCCGCCTGCCAGGCCCTGTCTCCTGACACCCCCCCCTCCCCCGCTGCAATAGTGCGGCCTGCGGGAGGGTGGGTGTGGGGCAAACTCCCCCTGCCCCACACAGCAGGGACAGGCCTGTCGGAGAGACCTGCCCCCCGCAGGGAGCCGGCAATTCAGCCTCGGCTGGGCCCGCATGTGCAGAGACCCGGGATGCCCAGGCCCGGGGACACTGCAGGGAAGTGGGCCTGGCCTGGCCCCTCTGCCGACAGCAGGGAGCTCCCTGGGCGGTTTGGGGCAGTGGCGCCTGCTCTCCCTGGGGGCTGTGTCCTGTTGCCCCGGCCGGTGCCGCATTTGCCAGTTCGAGACCGGGAGCCGCCCCTGGCTAATGGCTGCTGGTGACCCCACGTGCCATGAGTTTGGGGGTCTCAG